TTGTAGATTTATGTTATCGTTCATATCTTCTTCGTCGGTCAAGGCATCCAACATCGGGTGGAATATAGACCGCGCCAATATGTTCTGTAAATATGTTTTCACGTTATTTTTAGCATAAATTTAGAAGGAATGGAATGCTACAATACATAAGAATTCGTAACTCCAAATAATACTTACGACTTTCATTATTATTGTTCTCATCCATCAGGATCTCCTCCATAGCCGCCTCTAATTCCTTTTGAGTCAAATAGCTCGGAACTGTAATAACATTAAAATAACATTCACTGCACAAGGCACAAACTAATACTAAAGAACACGCTAATTGTTGGATGTTTATTCTACATGCGCTGACTTGACTAGACTTAATAACAAAGTTTTGTTTTAGTGGTGCATGCAAGCACCAGTAAATATTTTCAAAAAATAAAGGATAATCAATATATTATTTCCAATGTATGTTTTCTGCGTTGCAATCTATGTGCTATAGAACTATTTTGGATTTACTTGAAAATGTGACACAAATTTATGTGCCGCTTTTGTTAACTTTTGAAGTCATATATAAGATCTTTCCTTTACGCATAAATTAGCGACATCTACGGTTTTATGTCCTTTAGTAGTGATAATAAGAAAATTTCTAAATGGATGTGCATAAATATTTCCTGGATAGGTGACAAAAAAAATCATGGAATAGGTGGTGCATTAACGCACCACTGGAACAAAATAGGTTAAGAGAGAACGTTCGATCACAGAATAAGCTAAATTATACTCACGATAATGTGCCAAAGTATCCTCTAAAACATTGAGGGGGCACTTAAAATGGATTTTAAAATGATACTAATAATACTAATACTAATAAAAAAAATAATAAAAACATATTAAATAAAATAATTAAGGGAAACCCTCTTAGTCCACTAGATACTGACAGAAATTTTCAAGGACAATTTAGAAAATATCATACATAAACATCTTCTGGGTAAAGGATTTCTCTAGTGGTATAGATACGTAGATGATGTTTTAGCTTGTTTCACTGGAACGGAAAGACAACTAATCCTTTACTAATCATATTAACTCCATACATAACCAGACAATTTACCATATAGACGAACTAGATAACTCTTTAAACTTGCTGGGCTTAACTATAACTAAACTACAGAACAAATTTGATTTTTCCATTTACTACAGTTAATACCTAATAACTCAAATTACCCTCACACACACAAAATGGATGCCTTTTATGCTTTTATCCACAGACTACTTAATATTTTCCACAGAAAATTTTCAAAAAGAAGAAGAAGCAGTTTTTCATAAAAGTTGGTGGCTGTCAAGGTCTCCTCCCCGTAAAGGTGTATAATATTTTCACGTACTGATTCACGGATGGAAAATGTGATGACATTCATTTGTTGAACTCCCACTGGAATCCTGCTGACGTTTCGCCAGTGTTCGACGTATTTTCCTCCTTTTGACTTCTTCAGAGCTTAACTGAAACTGGCTAGCAGTTTACTCTGTACCTGCTTATATATTGTTTGAGGGGGGCGGCGATAAATGAGTAAACATTTTCTCCGATGACTGATTCCGATATTGGTGAAAGGTTGGAAAGAATCTGAGTCGCATTGTATGGTTGCTTATAGATTTCTATAGATTCTCCAATTTTGCAAGAATTGCAAGAATTTTAGTTTTATCGAATAAAATTTTATGTCCAGTTTCGTGATTGTGTTCAGCAACGGCTGATGAGTTTATTTGTCTTAGTCTTAAAGTTCTTTCATGACCTTTGAGCCGAGTAGATATTTTTAGTCCGCACTCTCCAATGTATTCTTTGCCGACACAGGAGGAATCCAGAAGTTTCGTAAATAGTATTTTTATGAGCTGTTATTCTTTTTTTCAGTTTTTGTGAAGTTGGTCCAACGTAAAGCGTGTCACATTTAGTCTTCAAGGCATAAACTTCTTGCGGTTTCTAAGATGGCGGGGTTGTGTCTTTAAGATTAAAGCATAATTCTCTTTTATAGATCTAGATTATATTTAGATATAATAAGGTTCATCGGATGGAAAAATCTAATCGCTTTAAACTTTATAGTGTCGTCTTCACAGACTAAAATTTTATTCAACAATGAGATATTTGTTATGCAATAAAATGTCTTTTAAATGCAATAAATTTGACTGTACTAGAGTGGGATAGCATATCCTTTTAATTTTTTATTTATAAACAAATCATAGCATTCCTAATAACTTTAGTGTCTAGAAAAGGTTATCCAGCGGGCTATCTCTCCACAGTGAAGGAAATACTTATTATTGGACAACCCCGAAGTTATTGTGTTGCTCTATTATTATTATATGTATTATTCCAATAAACTCCTTGCTGTAACGCTGCTGTCACATTACGTTTATTCACCAAACTCGTCTTTCTCTAATTTCGGAACTATTCGAAGCATGTAGGTCTTAAAACTGCTACAAATACAATTTTTTTCAAAACTATCAATCAAATTTGAACTTTACGATATAACCTTTAAGTTGTCCACCCTGTTTGATCATATACATTGAAAATTTGCACTTTATAACTCTCTCGCATTAAGAAACGAAATATAACCATACATTCTGTTTTTTTTTATTTTGATGTTTTCAAAAACAAAAAACTTACAGCGAAATGTTATCAAGATAAATTAAAGGCACGGCACGGGACTAATCTGTCGCAATAAAATACAATCGTTTTCTATAATATTCTAGGCACTCTAATTGGCGTGAGAGCCACGTATCCTATTTTTTTACCCTAAAAACGTTATACTTTATCCCCTATTATTTAAATTTATAGGAACGCGCACGACCGCATCCGCAAGTCGTTCCCAACGTTTCGGTATACATAAACACGGCGTTTATTTATCGCAAATATGTAATTAGAAATTAGCGTGATTAACGCGGAACGAGAGAGCGGTCGGGTTCAAAACTAACCGATGTTTTGAAACCCGCTCGGGATTTTTATGAGATCGCTTGTCCGTCGCCAATATCTTCGCACCGCAATACAACTTGATCATCGTTCGGCGACGGAATAAACAAATTAAAAGCAGCTGTTTAACATAAATCAAAAGCGAATAACAACGGCGCGAGAGATTTAAATCAATCATAAAAAATGTAGGCGCGCGTTTTGAAAATATTTTCACATCGACCCATTAAACGCGAAAATTTCACTCTATAATTAGAATACCATAGAAAAAAAAACAACAACTATAGTGAACTGTTTCAATCGCCACGGCCTGCCATTTATCTTTAGTTGGAATATTCTGTGTAAACAGAGACGATAATAAAATTTAATTCCGCGGGATGTTCTATAATAACAAGCGTTTCGAACCGTTCGGTTGACATTAATAAGACGATAAACAGAAAATATTTACATGAGAATCAACACGTTCGCGACAATAGAACGAGCGTTGCTTTGTAAAACTAATACATCCCATCCTCGACCTACCTGGTCTAACGACATTTTTTTCTATGCAAATTTTAATTAGGATCACTGACACGAATATCACGCGACATTTATGTTCCGGTTACCATTTTTAAAAAATTTAATCTAACTTAAATAACGAGAGCGCATGTGACGAAAATCTACGCGCACTAGATATGATATCCAGCGACCCGAAATCATCCATCCGCATTTAGAAGATTCACACTGATTCCAAAGTTTGAAATGCGAGTACAATTTCTGGCGCCTGTTTATCCACAACTCGCACCAACGTGCGGTTGCGCGAAACTGTTTGGCCAAAAGCCGATAGATGGCACACAAAGCAGGACTCTGTGGTCTGCGGGAAATAGTCGCTTGCTATATGAAAGTTTTCGTTAACGCTACATAGGTGCAACGATTCTAGCAATTAGGGGAAGATGGCGCTGCCATTTAGTATTTTCGTCGAAAAGGTTTCTGCGATATTTGAAGATCGGACCTACAGATAACAGATGTACATGGATATTGTACGTCAATAGACACAAATTGGATTTGATAGGGTATTAGAAGTCCACAGCCACATTTAAACTGTCAAGGTTGTGCGCAATCGAATTTCGCAAAATCTATAAACCCGATCGGCAAAATTGAAGGGCAAAATTTGAAGCCAAAGAAAAGTTTATTTAACTAATATAACATAATTCCTTGACTGACGCCCCTAATTTCTTGACTAATTCTAGTGGTACCTCGACTAATACTACTAATTCCTATCCTATTACCACCAATTCTCAAGATTGGTACACAGTTTATCCATCGTTAGAGTTTAGCTAGTTATTTTGCTATAAGATTTTGCACTGTTCTGCTCTAGGCTCCACTCATCAATAAACTTGGCTTGCAAAAGAAACAGGTTTCGCAAAATGAAAAGCAAAACTACTCCAATAATTTCTTTTAATATTGTAAGGATTTATTTACATCATCGTTATAATTTTTCTACCAGACATTGGAAAGCCGAATATGGCTGGGAAAACGATTGCAACAATAGGCAATTACGAAATTCCCTGAGAGGCTATCAGATCGAAAACAAATTTAAAATATCATCGCCAGAACTAACAAAAATTAATCCGCTTTATGGGAAAGTATTTAAAAAAAACCTTAAGTATTTTTAACTCTAATAGTCTTATCGGCTAACATCGATTTCTATATAAATTACACAGCTTAATAAATAGAAAAAGTCGCAAACTATATCCAAATAGATAAAGTAACAGTCTTTTGGCAGATATACAAAATAGTCTATAGAATCACGCCGTCATTGCCGCGTCCTTACCGTCGTTCAATACTGCTCGCTAGCACTATACTATAGGATTTTTTTTAAGTAGCTACCTAGTAAACATCGCTTTTGGTACATTTGGTAAAAAAAAAGGAATCGCACAACTGTATTTGTATTTTCGTTCGGCACAGAATTTTTTCCGCCATATATATATATATATATATATATATATATATATATATATATATATATATATATATATATATATATATATATATATATATATATATATATATATCACTTAAAATTTGGGGTTAAATATGCCTGCATAATAATTTAGTTCTAATAACTAAATCACATTCATTAACGGTTGCTTTTATTAATTGCATTTAAATTTACAGCGCATCTTTCAAACATAGGGATGAACATTTCAAAAGAGATTTTAAACCAGATTATGTGATCCGTGTACGTTTTGTTGTCTGTTGTTTTTCAAAACTGGCAAATAGAAAAAAAAAATCCCCTAGCGAAAGATACACTGAAATAAGATCTAATATAAAAACTCTATGTACATACACGCCTTAAAAACTGGCCATTTTATTCTTTACATTAAGGTAAACACTGACGCATTCATCTTTAGCCTCAATAATACTCGTTTTAGACTTAAACTTAAATTTTGTACTGGGTATCAAAAATCTTCGAATTTGTCAAAAGAATGTTGGTACCAACTCTAAAACAATGAAAAAACGATTTCCCTATACAGCCGCAATTTTTTTTCTTAAAACAAAAACACACATTCTGTCGCCACGCGCTTCCGTTTATCTCTCACTGTACACGTCTACCGAAAAAAAAAACACGAAACAAAAATATCAAAATAAATACAAAACTATACTTAAAAACACTGTTTTTGAACACACTAGCCGCGGCCGATCGGTTTTTAGGAAGCTGATGCTGTTCTCGTATTGGTTTGCGAGTTTTGTGCGAACAACACGCCCTGGTACGTCACGCCGTTCAGCTCCATGCTAACCACTAGGGAGTTGTCGCCACTTCGAGAATCACCTGCAAAAACAGCTATTTTTACGACAAATTTGGTGAAAATTCTACTGCTTCTGTTTTGGTTAATTTTAATTAGTTTTTTTGTTGAAACCTTGATTTATATAACGAATGAAAATATTTATATTCTCTCTTAGAAATGTCTTGCTGACGTTTCGTCAATCACCGTGTTGGCTTCTTCAGAGCCTAACTAAAATTAGTTTGAATTCTGCTCTGTACCTGCTTATATACTGTTTGAGGGAATTAAATAAAGAGGCAAGACAAATACCTCGATTGCAGTTAAGATTGTCGGATTTGTCTTTGGTAGAAGAATTAATCATATGCAAGAACTGCTTGTGAGATTATTTGTCATAGTCTTAAAGTACTTTCGTGAACTTTTAGCTTCGTTGATATTTTTCGTCCTGTCTCTCCAATGTATTCTTTGCAGCATATGAATGGAATGCTGTAAACTCCGGTTGTCTCGAACGGAATTTTATCTTAGACGGATGTAAAATATTGTGAGATTTTTGGACAAGTGATAAATCTGTTTTTAACATTCAATTTCTTAAGAACTTTTGATATGTAGTCAGTCTTTGAGCGTTTGTGGTGTGCATTTTGTAATGGAATGCTTAATGTCTCTAACGTGAACATTATTTGAGAGAAGAGTAGTGCCTTTCCTCCGTCATGAAGCAATAATATGGGGCAATATATAAGGTGAGAGCAAAGTCTCTTTATTAATATAGATTTTAAAAATAAGTTGAGTGTATCTGGATGGGATTTCACATTTTTTCTCTCTGTCCTTTCCTGAAATCTCATCAAAATCAAATAAAGCCTAAAGTTGTTGTGCTCTAAAACACCCCTTTTGAGGAAATTACTTTTTCACATTTTGCTCACTGTTGAATGTTAATCAAGTTTTGGGGGAAAATTCTTCAGACTTAAAAAATTAATCAGATTATAAGGTCGACTTGAAATAAAGAAATTAAAGTACTTTTTGCCCTTCTTGGCAAAGATTATAGAACTGAACACTTTGCACATGTGAGGTAAAGCTGTATTTCAGGTTATGTTGTATTCGTTGTGCTTTTGGTTAATAATAAAATATATAATAATAATAAATAATAAAGTATTTCTGTGTGGTTAAATTATCACCGACATTCAGAAGAACCTCTTCAAGCGGAGCGGTGTTCTGGTAAAGATTTGGAACTACGTGGAACTTCTATTTTGAGTTCGTCTGATACTAAATTTACTAGACCATGTCTTGCATTATCGCGTCTCAGGTACCATTTTCTGTTCCACAGCGCTGTTCTTTCATTAGCTATCGTCAATAACAAAAGTAATAAATTTGGCAATGAAGAAACAAGGATGGTGTTAATTATATATTTTTTTATTTATTTTTTTTTATTAAATTATTGTAAGAGTGGGTTTTTTGAGCGTTTGTTGGGATTCATATGAAAAATGTTACGAAAAATGACATTAACTCTAATATCAAATCACAAACAAAAGTTTGTACGTCCAAAGCGAATCGATTTGATAATTGTAAGATATTTTTTTAGTTAATATTCTCTTAATCTTTTAGAGAATCCCAAAAGCCCAGAGATCCCATTAAATTTTCAGAGTCTCGCCCAAGTAAATAAGTTATGCAATAAAGCTTAACTAAAGGACAAATCTATAAGTCCTCCCTACCGGTCACAAAAGGCGACGTTTGCGGAAAATAAACTTTAATTGCGCGGAAAACGTCCAACAATCGACAATCAATCACCGAAAATTAATGATCTCGCGAACTTAATAAACGTAGGGACCTGTCGCTCCGGCACGCGCATAAAAAAAACTTCCGGGCAAATTTAAACCGCTTCAAACGAGTCGGGTGATTAATGATGTTGGGATATCTAGAGGAGTTTTGCAATAAAATGCGACCGGCTAAAAGTTTCCTCCTGCGCGTAGATACTCCGTTGCTTTAGTGCTAGCAGTAGTTCTTGTTCGAAAATTCAAATGATCGACCCGGAAGCAATAAACACAATACGGGGTGGACCATTTTTTAAGGGATAACACGTATCAAAAAAAATAAAAGTAAAATTACGTTGCATTTATTGTTTTTTATTTAACAAGATTTCTCCCAAATATTAGCATTTACTGATTTACAGATTGAAATCTTAATTGACTTAGCTGAACTAGTTGTTTTTGAAAGTTTTGTATTGCCATTTAAATAAGTTAGAAAAGGTATATAATATAGCAATCAATAATGGTAATCAACTCAATCAGAAATCGAGTAAGCCTAAAACCTCCAGGTAGTCGTGATAGAATATGGCACAGATCTGGAGAAAGGTCTTATGATTCTACTATCAATCAAATCAGGTGGTGATTCAAAAATATTGTGCAGTAAATATGTTTAAGGACCGAGGTATACACCAAATTTCAATGACTGTTTTTTGTTACTTAAGTGACATCTTCGAGTGGCCACCACGTAGCCTATAGAGCACCTTCGGGATGTTCTAAAAATATTCCTCAAGCAACCAGCCAAAACTTAATAGCAAACTTAACGAGAAGAATATAACCAGTTATAAAAGCTCTAGGAGGTACTAGGTGTTATTGAAGTTCATTGACCTTTTGTATAACGAAAATTCTCTGTCAAGTTAAGTTTAATTCTATATTTTTTAAGTTTTTGTACTTTTGATTTTTTCAGGGAATTTTAGACATATTTCATACATGTATAACAACATCTTATACTTAAGTTTTAAAGTTTCTGACATAGAATGAATTTTATGTCGAAAGTGAAGTTTGCTGATTTAAATATTAAATACATCTCCTGTACAACAAAAAAATGGTGAAAATAAAAACGTCTTCCGACAAATTCTCAAGAGAAGTGAAAAAATATTTTTGAGATGCGCGTGTGGAATTAAAAATTAAACATCAGCACAAATTTGCCAGTCTCTTTATAACTTTTAAAAATTTCCTATATTGTAGATCATCATGTGATATCTTGCAGTATCTAACTCTACAATAATTTAATTTACTATAATATAGACAAAATATGTTATGCATTTTTTATGAGAAAATGCACAAGAAACAATAATAATAAACGCCATTAATTTTAATTAAACTTGAAAATATTTGAGTGAATAATCATCCCACTAGATGACTAACATCAGCACATATAACTTTACAGCGATAACTTTAATCGATTTTGAAAGATTAGTGATTACAAAAAATATTTGATAATTTTTTCGATGAGTATATTGAGTGTTTCAAAACAAATGCGAAAAATTTAAGGTGGTGATTCCTTTTTTAAAATAAAGAGTAGTTTGTTAAATAAATCTTGGGTCAAAAGCCTGGGTGACGGAGGAAAAGAACTTGGAAATTAAGTTCCCAATTTGGACAATAAACTAAACACTGTAAAAGATGAAATAAATATACTTACCCCTACTATTAATTTTGATATGCGTGCTGGGCGTCAAGAGGGGTGATGCTGGCGACAAGGGTTTCGGGTTGTCGTCCTGCTCCTTGGTTATCCTCTTCGAAGGCGGTGGGGAATCCATGCAATCGGGTTCGCGTTTAATGGCCGGCGAGGTGTCCGAGAGGTTGATGGGCTCTTTTTGCGGTTCTATTTGGGGCTGGTTGTTATTGTAGAGATTGAAAAGTGTCATCCGCGACATTTCGAATTGATTGAGGGGGGACGTTGCGTTTGGAGGAGAGATCTCTCCCGGTCTCGGGGGCGTGCCTGCCGACGATCTGCAATGATACAGATTATTACGTCACGGATACAAAAAGCTGGTTGGTAAGTGATAAGACGAAATTAATACATTTCGGTGCTTGCTATTGGGTTCCACGTTTACATAACTAAGTGTATGGTCGAAGAGCTATTTTGTTGATTAATATTGAGTGTTGGTTCTATTACGAAAAGAAACAAAAGGGTTAAGCTCCTTTGTGCAATCAGTTTGAAACAACTCGTCGCCATACAACAGGCATTCATACGTAACTTAGTATACATTGCCGCTGGTCATATATGGAAATTTTAGGGAAAACGAGTGGTAATTACTAATAATTAGTGGAAATCAGTGGTGATCCTTAGTGAAGTTACAGTGGAAATATTAGGTATTTTAACGAAATTTTGGAAATAATTAGTAGAAACTTTAAGGGAAATTGGGTTTGAATTAGCAATAATTAGTGGAAGTATATTGGTAACTTGTGAATAGTAGAATTATAGTGGTAATACTAGGTAACTTAAGGAAATTCTGCACTAATTAGTAGAAATTTTAAAAGGAATTGAGTGGTAATTATTGGTAGTCAGTGAAAGTATACCGGAAATCAGTAGTCATTACTTGTAATAAATAGTTAAAAATACGTTTGATTCTGAAGACACGTCGAAAAATATACCGTTAATATACCCTACTTAGATTCTGTTCAAAGAGTCAGTGATGTGTAATTCCTAATAATGTTATGAACCTTTTGATTGAATTGGTGGCTTTCACTTAAAATTATTAAATATAAACAAACACTGTACGAGTTCGAAGAAACTCTTTAAATGTAGTACCTATTTTCTACTTTATTATTTTTTTAAAATTGAATTTAAGTTTTAAGTACTGTTTTGGAAAAGATGAAACAAATGAAAACAATCTTCTATAACTTTTGCGTCTGCGGACACGCCAGCGACGACGTCGTGAGAGTTTTAAATAATTTCTGTGTCAGTTATATAATTACCAACATGACTCTATAGTCGCCTTCCAGAGGAGTTAAGACATTTTACACTGACACTGTTATCCTTTTTTTTTTCGTTTGTTCGAATGAATTTGAAAAAGTTGTAAGTTTTTTTTTCTTGTTCAATTCTACTTTTTGTTGTAGTAACCAGAACTAAATAAATATCGATACATCTATATGTCTATTATTAAAACTGAAAAGTATTTTATTACGTGTCCCACGCTTTCCACTTCTCATTTTCCTCCTTTTTCCTTTGAGAGTCTACCTTCACCCATTCTCTCTACGCGACCATAGCACCCCAGAAGTGCATTTCTAATGAGAAGGCTTTGTTTGTGTTTCGCTTCCAAACAGGACTTTGTTTTAATATCTTGACCCCCCCCCCCCCACCCAAGTCATAGTTTTTGTTTGTTTGTTGGGTTTTCACATTTTAGAGTGAGTAGATTTTGACTGTTGGTCTCCATCACTATCTTAATTTGTTGCCAAATTTAACAAACGAGTTGTTTAGATTGCTCGCTTTTATGTTTTAGTTGGATTAGGTGGCTCAAAGAATGCATCTTATCACATCCTAAATATGTTACGTAAAATGTATAAGAAAAATATTTAAAAAAAATTGTTTCGACTTCATCTTGTTTCTATGTGTTGAATTTTGATATTATTCTTCCTCTTGTCGAATAAGATGTTTTGTTTTTGTTATTATTCTCCTAATTTAGATGATTAAATAGAACATTTGAAAAATTTTCTGTACTAACTGTAAATATTTATTTAATGGAATCGAGATTAATCAGTTCAAATTGGTATATAGTGATAATTCCGGAAGTGATTTCTGATAGAAGTGGTAATTTATCGAAAACAGATGCACAACTAACATCCTTAGTTGGTTGACCAAAAAAGCTCGGACAAATATTCTTTTTCTGAAGGATTTCTAGACAAAGCTTTTAGAACCACTAACCATGGCTATTTTTTGCAATACAATTATTATTGTTGTGTATTCCTACAGTTTCTCGAATTTAGAGTAAGCATCAACAACATAGACAACATTTTCATATACCTCTGTTAGCTATCATAATGGTGGTCGAATATAAAAATACTGGAAAATTGGACACCCTGTACGACACCGCACTTATCAATGCTTTCCAAATTGTTATGATTAATCGTAGGAAATAAGCGTAATGTTCTAATAAATACGGACCAAAATATCCGTCACTCAGATAAATTTCCTGGGAATTTAAAAGTAATTTGAAAGGTCTAATGAACCAATACATTGTATCCAGCTAAGAAATCAACCGGAAATGAGGGATTTCGTGAGTACGACGCCTATCGTTATCCCTGTTAATTTAAAACCAATTAAACATAATTTTAATTTTAATGGCTCCGGTTTTGGGAAAAATAATCCCCGACGGCCGGTTAGAAACCAGCGGTACTCATTGAATTTACCGTATTTCCCAGAAATTCGTCTCATATTGACATTATAACATAATTACTAATTTGTAAATGAAAAAAAATAATTTTATTAATTGATAAAAGCTATAAAGTTCGACAATAGAAAGAAATCTTCAACAATTTTATTATATTTCATTATTTCTACAAGTAACTTTACAATGCACAGTCCAAAGTTTTTATCAGGGGAGTTAGTAACTCTCAAAGACACTTGGGACACTAAAACTAACCAAAACTAACCACCCCACTCAGATCAACAAACTCAAGTGAAAATTCTGTTTTAGTCAGAATTGTCGAGCTTTATTTACAAAGACACTGTAACAATAAAGATATTGACAAATAGGTAGATATATTGATCTTTCCTTTTTTTTGTTGTATGTATTTATAGTTCTAGTTCAACATCTTGTTTTTCATATTTTGGTATAGTTTGCATATTGTAGCTAAAAGAGAATACTTGTTATGGATTTTTATTACCCTTGGTATTCAAAATAAATAAACAAAAAAATAAGTAATAGAAAATTATTTTAAAAATATTTTTTGTTAACTCAATAAAAAATTGATGAGAAACAGTTCCTGTACGAGGGTGGACTGATAAGTGCCAATAGTTATATAGTCTTTATAAATCAAAACGTCAACTTCATTTTCGCCAAATGTCTTTTTTCCTTTAATTATTAGCTCAATTCAGGCAATTAATGTGTATGTAATATGAGTAAATGGGTTACACTCCTTCCCGCTGCTGTCTGCTGCTTTGACTGTTTTTTTATTTTCAGCAGTGTAGTGGCGGATCCATAGTTACAAATCGACGCTAAAATTCGTCAGGATTTCGTTTCGTTTAATTCTCACTTGAAAGTTTTCGTTTACAGCTATTACTCAGGCGTTAGCAGGCACAATCTTGGGCAGAGCTTCCTTGTGTGCAAAAATATTATTTAAAATAGTGCCAACGCGCTCTTTTGATATTGCAGCACATTTCAGGCCATATTGAATATTTATTCGAGAAGACTTTAAACACTTAAATGTGTTTATAATTTCACGTTTTTCAAGATGTTCCAATTTTGTTAAAGCTTCAATAGTGTTAAGCTGTCAACTGAATATTAATGTAATAAACTGCAACTTCATATATTGTAAGACAGTACTACAGAATGCTCATAAAAGCTATTATATGGAGACACTATTTTTACATCAGGACCAGGACTAATAAGCATACTATCCTACATATTTTGAAAAACTACGATGTATCTAGGAAAATTGAACTGCAGACCATTTTCTTATTTTATTATTATTTGTTATCCATTTATATATTTTTATTTTTAATATTTTCTCTATCGCTTATGCGTGCAAACTATTGAATTTGGTATTATATTCTAAATGTTACTGAAAATCTTATGATTTTGTAAATATGTGAATGAATGCAATTAACGCAATAACCTGAAATTTTATATAGGTTTGTATTATAGAATGACGATAAAAATTTTAATATGGAGACCCGGGACTTATCAGCCCTTCCTCGTATTCAGCGACATGATACGTGTATATTGCAAGTAATCATCAATAACATTTATGTGCTATGGTCCTGAAAATGCATTACCTCATCTCTTTATTCAGCAACTTCATATACTCCATCATTCTTGCCTCGAATTCGCTAGGTGCCAAATTGGGCAGCGGTCCTCCGTTCACCAGTGGCTGGCCCATCGGCTGCGGATGACTGGGATGATGAGCCCCGTTATGGAGGTTCATGCTTCCGCTCATCACGGAATTCATCCGCGCAGCGATCTGCTGTTGCTGCGCAGCAGATACCAGCGATAACGGGTTCAACTGGTGCGTGGGGTTAGGCGACCTTAACAGAAAGCTTAATATTTAATTTAGGTATACCGTTGTCACTATGGTATTTTTTAATCAGACCTCTGTACTCTGTATCTCTATACAGAGTACAAAGTATCTCGAAAGATCAAAAACTATTTGAAAAATAGAAAAGGCAGCGTCCAGAATGAGTCCTAATTTCATACAGAAGCAACATTTTTTATTATATTTTATCGTACTAGTAGTGAATAAAACTGTAGTGAAAAAAGTGTATGCCGCTGTTTTTTTTTCTTCTAAAAATCGTTTTTGAAATTCGTATTTAATTTACAGCAAATTTGAATCCCTATTTTTTCCCTCCGTTGCCGTTGTGGCGTAAAAATATATATACCGTACCTAGACATCGAATCGTATTGTCCGTAACTACTTCTTCTACCCTCTCGCCTATTGCCGTCTATCGCCGCCTGTAGTTCCGATGGCGTACTGAGGTGTCGCTTGTCGCATTCATACGGATAAAGGTATTTCATGTATCTGAAATAGTAGTGAAGGAAATTAATGCATCGCAATAACAAGACTAAAAAACAGCTCAATATCACAACTAATTTAAACTAATGCAAGTTTAAATATCTGTTTTCCATAGTAAACAGTAAATTTATGGACAGCATTTCTTTATAAACTAAGACTGGCACATACATTACAAGAAAGTATATGTATGAGAATTTCAAAAAAAAAAACAAAAGAAGCAGCCCAAGAAGCACTAAGGATCAGAATTTAGAGAAAATATCATAGTAATAGTTTTTATGGAATCAAGATTTAGAGAAACTACTTACCAGAGATAGCTAAACAGCCAGGATGCAGCGAAAGAATTCCAAAGGTGATATACAGGGTGTTTTCTAATTGAATGTTAATAATTAAGAGAGCAATTTTTGGGTTCATTTTAAAAACAAAACTTCATATGAACATATGTCCTAAACCTCTTGAGATAGAGGATGGTAAAGTTTTTAAAAATAAAATATATTTTTTTAATATCTGTAATACTACTTTAGATATTTTAATAAAATTTTACATACATGTACTATGTATCAAGAGACATTATTTAGCGTACCGCATTTTTTTTTTCAAACACACCAGTGCCGGGCGTGCGGAGTTTCGCCTCTCTATTTTGGCAGATATTGATGGAACGCCACTGATTTCTCTTAAAATAAAAGTTATTCTGACAATCTTCAATCATTTCTAAAGAAATTTAATTTCTTGATTTTTTCAATCCGATGGACGGTTTTCGCTTAAAAAAATAGAAACCTCTTCTCTGCATGGCCATAACAATATATACAAATAATTTGACAGTCGCTTATTGAAACAATATTCATGTGTTTAAGCGAAGAGTAAAGTTCATTATCTCATTGGTTTCACAAGTTATGAAAAAATGAAAGATACAAAAGTTGAAAAGATTGTTAGGATGCACAATCTAAAATTTTTGCAAAGTATAGAGGGTGACTCAAAAAAAATATGACGAATAAAGCATACTTTTTTTTAATGGAACACTCCATTTTGAAATTTTGTTTTCAATTCCTTTTAAAATTCTTCAATTTTTTTACTAATACCTAAATATAATGTTTTAAAGTTTTGACACCTACAAGGAAATTACCATAGCGCCATTTTTAAAACTCAAATTTGCTATTAGCGTTATTTAAAGATGACGTAACCGAATTTGAATTAGATGCAGAGAATTAATATCATTATTATTTCTTACTTAAGTAATTCTCAATATGTATTATTAAAATACTTCAAAAAATCGAAGTACAAATACGAAGGACGTAAATTTTAAAGTTTATTTTTGAAATATTTATAACTATTTCTTATCATTTTGTTAGGCTGTAAGAATTATTAACTCTGTTGTCAATGCGGTTGTTTGGCGGCTGTTTGACATCAGTTTTTAAATTAAGTTTTTCGCGTCTTATTAATTTCGTTAAAATATCAGAGCATTGTTATTTTTAAAAAGAATGGTAGAGTTTACTAATGAGGAGTTGGCAGATATGCATTTTATGTATGGTTTGGCTGATGGCAGCGGCAGAGCGCTTTCCTAATAGTCACACCAGATAGACGAACATTTTCAAATGGACATAAAAGGTTGACTGAAACAGGTACTTTGAGGGCAAATAATCACTTAACCATATTTGGGTCGATGAAAAGCCCTCTGCAGTTGTAAAATTTAAACACCAATAATAGTTTTCAGTAAATGTTTGGGCTGGAATTGTTGGAAATGACTTAATTGGACATTTTTTCCTGACAGAAAGGCTAAATTGCCATAATTATCGCCGGCTTTTAGAAGGGGATTTGTAAATAGTGCTAGAAGAAGTACCATATTTACTTAGGAACAAAATGTGGTTCATGCATGACGGCGTGCCTGCTCACTTTGGTGTTGCAGTAAGAGAATATTTAAACCACACATTTAATGACCAATGGGTAGGTCAGATTTTAATAGTTTGGACATTTTATTATGGAGCATCTTTAAAATCTGGTTTGTCGCACGGGAGTTAATACTGAAGATGAACTGAAAGATGGTTACGAGCTTCCTGCGATTTAATAAGAAACACTGGAGGTATACTTCAAAGAGTGCGCGGAAATATGGAGAAAAGAGCTGAACCATGTATCCTTCAAGGTGGAGGAAACTCTTAACAACTGATCTAGTTTCTATGTTCTACTTTTTTTCAAAAGGTTTGTTATTAATTTATTAACATACAATCTTATCAAAAATTATTAATAGCATGTAGTGTTTTTTTTTAATAATAAGAATCGTTTATTATTTATCTTGTTGTTAGGATGTAATGTTATTTCATTAAAACTGTAAAAGTAAAAAGAACAGTTTTCTAATATTTTTTTCTGAAGGAAGTTGGCAACTATAAACTAGATATTTTGTTTTAGATAGATATTTTATTTTTCACAAAAAAAAAATCTCGATTTAACCAATGCAGTGCTATTTAACAAAAATATTATTGGTTCATAGACAGTCAGTGGCACGCCACTGATTTCCTTTTAAAAAAATGACCTTTGCATTTATTTAAAAAAAGTTTGCGAGCGAGAATGGCGGACTCAATGTTTTAAGTGTAAAATACAATTTGATGATGTGAAATCAATAATACAGTGTACTAACTGTAATCGATATTATCATGGTAAATTCGTGAATGGCGACCTAAGAGGTTTCACATGAAAAGATCAAGTTGGAAGTGTGTGATTCAGTTTTGGAGGTTAGGAGTGAAACTGTAAACAAACCTGAGCAGGCAAGGAAGAGAAACAGAACCGATGAATGTTTTATTGATCAAAATTATATTGATGTCATAAACAATACTTTGGATTTGCTACTCAAAAACACATCGGAATTAAATGGCATAATCGACTACTATCTAATACAGGAAAATTTAAGTTTGAAACAAGAACTGCAAAAACTAAAGAGTAGTGATAGGTTAACGGAAATTAATTAGATGCAACCGAAATCTTATGCAAATGTTACCAAGATCAAGGGTACTGATAAAATATTGGTTGTAAAGCAAAAGGGATCTTAAAAAGACACAAATGAAATAAAAAAGACGCTTCAAACTAAAATCATTCCCACTGAAATAGGAGCGGGTGTATCAATGGGGCGTTCTATCAAGAATGGCGGACTAATACTGGAATGTGGCGTTGAAAAAGAGATTTCAAATATTCAAGCAGAAATACAGACTAAACTTGGTACAGTATATGAAGTAGAAAGACCTAAATTAGGTGAACATAGAATAAAAGTGGTGGGAGTTGATGAGAGTGAGTACAACGCTGAAGATAATATATTATTGAGAAAATCGTTCAACAAAAAGAAGGTAAAGCCAAATGATAAGGATTTTAAATTGAAAATTTTGAGAAAAACTAAAGTATTTAGTAGCAAATTTAATATCATTTTTGAGGTAGACTCACAAACATACAACATACTGATGCTGAATCAGAGGATGAATATAAGATGGAGCCGTTGCTTGGTTTATACTGATTATGGAATAATTAGATGTTTCAAGTGTTGCAAATATGAACATCAACAAAAAGAATGTAAGGAAAAAAATGTTTGTGGTAAATGTGGTGGCGAGCATGATTTCAAAAATTGCAACAGTAGTGTAAGTAAATGTAACAACTGTGCATTGTCTAATAGCAAATATGGAATGAAATTAAATATTGATCACATTGCATGGGATATAAATAGTTGTGAAACATATACGAGAATAGAACAAATACAACGTAATAAATATATTAAATGGCAATTACACAATAATATCGAGTTAATGTCAACAGCCGTTTATTTTAATTGTCAGGGTTTCTTAAATAATAACGACAGTATTAATATATTGATTAATGATTGGAGGCCGAAAATATTATTATTGTCCGAAACACATGTGTCCGCCGAGATAGAACGTACCGAAATAAATATCGATGAGTATCAGTTGGAGCAGTGTACCACCACAAAATAGGAGAACTGGTGGGGTAATGGTTCGTGTACGAAACGATATCAAATATAAGATCTGTGATACGAAGTGCGTTGAGAAATATGTTTGGTTACTGTCTCTGGAAATTGTCGTGAGCGGGTTGAAATATTTGTTTACTGTTGTTTATCACCCTCCACAGATTGAAAATGCGCAGTTTTTGGATTTTTTTCTCTGACTATTTGGATCGAATATCTAATTTTGAAGGAGTCAATGTTATACTTGGAGATTTTTACTACGACGTTTTAAAAAAATCGTTTTACAGTGATAAACTTTTAAAAATAATACATTCCAATGGGTTCCATCAGATTATTACTAGTCCAACACGTATAACTGATAGTAGTCAAACCCTTATTGACTATATTGTCTCGAATGAAAGAAACCTGTCGCACAAAGTCCACTTGACACCAAAAATCAGCGATCATTGCATTTAAACCATTGATGTCCAGAAGTTGTCCAGAAATTATGTGATAGATTCTTTCAGAAGGTGCTGGAAAAAGTATACTGCCGAACAGTTTCTCACAGTTCACTACTGGAAGTTCAGTGTGATGGTTGGCACTCAAATGTTGACGCGATTGCCAATAGATTTGTACAAAACCTAACTGGCATATCAAATACAATGTGATGAAAGAAAGAGATAAAATTTATGTTAGGGCTGTTTGTCACAGAGACGTTGGAGAATGGAGTGCATATAAAAGATTACGAAACAACATCGTTAATAAAATAAGGTACGAAAAAGACAAATACTTCAGAGAGGTGATAGATGAAAGTAAGCAAAATTGAAGAGAGTTCTGGAAACATTTGAAGGCATTAATCCAGAATAAAAGTTTATCTAGTCAAAGGAAAATTGTTTTTGAACAGGGACTGGTGAAAACTGATAAAGATATAGCCAGTGAATTTAATAAATATTTTGTGCGGAGCATTGAAGATATCATATCGGCAATAACTAGACCATCCGTCAATTTGATGTGTTTAGATCAAAACCAGGATATGGAAAATCACTGCGTAACGGAGTTCCCGAGGTTTGAAAAC